AGTTTTTGAGGAAGATTCTCTCCTTATACAGGCGTAGCAGTCACACTTTGGCATCTGAAAGACGTTTAGGATGATGACAGTTCACACCTTGAAAATCATTCGATCATTTATCACATAAATTATAAAGTCTTTCTAGAGATTTCGTGTTGAAAAAGTTCTTGATAAGGTAAATTTGAAAATTCCAGTGCTTCTATCACATGTTTAAATGCTCGGTCCCATTAGCACCTGCGCTAAATCCCTTGCAGTGAAAATTATTTACATCTGCCCAGTAAGCCCTCCTTTCTCCTCCGCAACACTGTTCGAGCCTCAAGGTGCCACTATAGAATGCTCTAGACTATAGTTACATATAAACCTTGTTATACACACAAAAACGCTGTCTCAATTCAGGTGGCACAGGAAGTAAGCTAATTAAATAATGGCTGATAAAAGCTTCTGAAGGCAACCTCAAAAGGATGAAATCAAGTCTGTAGCTTCATAACAAACCCAGTACAGGGTGCTAGAAACCATTATCAACTTTCGGTATACAATCCGAATTCCACCTGGAAAACCGTCGACATCACATCAAATTTGGTAATCGAAGCCCAAGGTCCATTGATTAAATACCTTTGTCGTCTCATAAGGACCATGGGGGTTACGCAGTGGATAGTTCAAATATCATCCCTCGCTCGGTTATTGTAGGATGAGGACAAAAAGAGGACTTGAAATTATTAAAGCATTGTAAAGGGCCTTGGAGCAAAACAGGGCTGGTCTGATTCGTTAATTGTAGGCATCTTTTCTTCTGTCAAGATCTGCTTGTTCATAAGAACTACTTTAAGAATAAATATCAGTATTAAATACGCAGTTCAATAGTCGTACGGATTGGACAAATACAGGATCCATATAATATATTAAAATTGTAATAAATTATTGATGTTTTAAGAACGAAGCAGACAAAAGAAACCAAATTAAACTTTTTTTTTTTGTAATTGGTGGATTACTTGTTGCTTTTCCAAAAGGATGACAAAATATCTAAAAAAAATTGATCGAAAGATTTGATTATCCCCCCTCCACCCGCCCCTCATTTTTGAGCAAACGGAATTTGGTCACAAAAGATGAATAATATGAAAATTACAATGATCAGCTAGGAATTGTTAAATTGCAATTTATTTTATATCTAATTAAAGCTTCTGTTTTCCCGTACAATCGATCAAATATTGTCGTTTATTTATTTTCAAAAACACATGTGATTGAAATGGTTCCAAAAACTAATTATTTCCTTCCTCTTCATTGCAGACTTTAAATGAAATATGACTTTAAATGATTTTTTTAATGACTTACGGTTATGAATGCTCCAAACTTCCAGATAAAAAAAAACTTAAGCCATACCTTGATATTGTTTATTTGAACAATGTTGACTCATCCTATGGAATTTGCACCTTAATTAGCACTAGCTTGACATGTTTTTCAAGCGTTGCACACTTCAAAGGCGGCCGCAGCTAATCCAGTCCCGTTGGTTGTCGTTTTAACAAAGCCTTGAAGAATTAATCTTATAAGCCAGTCCGGCCCCGGAAAAAGGAAATGTATCAAATAACAGTAACCTTTACGACAAGTCCCTTGAACAAAGTGTATTAGGGTTCAAAACTGCGCCCAATCACTGATCCCACATTGTTTTCTAGATCAGAGACCACTGCTGCTGCGGTGCTTTGCTCATTATGAGAAATGTGGTTTATTTATGAGAATTTCTGTGCAGGGAACAATTTTGATGTTGATTTTATCACTGACACCTTTTGTAATGACCGGTTATTGTTTAAAAGAGGCTGACGTGCATGATTATCAAATATTTTGCCGCTATTCATTACAAGATTGCTGTACTACACGCCCTGATGCAAAGTCAATATGGCGGCAGAGAGTGCCACAACATCTCCACCTGCTCTAGCTGGAAGCTCCTTTTCAATAGAAAACCTTTTGAATCTCTCACAAGGTGCTACAGAAAAGAAGCCAACAGCCAGGCTCTCAACTGCTACTTCAACGTGTGATTCCCTCCGAAGGCCGTCATTTCCACTTGTTCCTAAGGCAGTACGTCCGTTTGCGTATCATGCTCACAGTTTGCCTCTTTGTACCCCTGACCCTGGACTTAACTTTGGTGGAATCCCACATCCTCGTTCAGAGCCAAGCATTGACCATTTTCCAATTCCAAACAACGGACCTCCATTAGGTAAGCTGAAAAGAGGTGTCCACTTAGTTAATACCTGTCCTTGTTACATTGTTCCTGGGGCGCGGAAAGTGCGGCCGCTTCATTTCATTTTGCACCGTGTTAACGGTTTAAAGTCGTCACATATTCTGAACCACAAATTGATTGTTCCCTTTGTAAAATGCCTTGAGGTGAGATCTTCACACAACTTTGGTTTATTCAGTATTTTCTAGCTGTGTTAAAGATGACCATTCTCTTGAAGTTTTATCTAGATAATCAATGCTTAAATCTACGAAACTTCCATTTCTCCATGGCACTCCACTCTTTTTGCTCAAAGAATTCGGCAAAAAACGTTCATAGAGAACTACACTTGTTTCTAACAATGTGTTAATTCTTACACGCTAAAATGTAAAGAAGTTACCACTTGAGTAGTATCCGGAGGGTCAGAACTAATTTCTCAAAATTGTGGATATTGTCCTCAACAAAAAACGTATAGGCGAACTGAAGCTTGCAGCAGATTTAGTCGAGGCCTATACCTAAGATGCTTTGTGCTGATTCATTTTAAGTTTATACTTTTCGATCTCTTGATCCAAGTGTGAATGTTCCGAAGAAGCTTCAGTTGAATCACCCTACGCGTGTGCTATAGCTTTCTTCCCAGAACCTCTGACAACAACACTGTAAGCATATTTGTTGATAAAACCAAGCTATAAGAAATACCAGATAACATTACCTTTAACTTGTATTACATTGTTTCTACAGATAACTGTTATGTAGGCTATCCTGAGATAAAAATTTCGACAATTACGCTGAGAGAAGCAACTTAAGAGCATTTATCTTTTAACGATTTTTATCACCTACATAGACATACATGGACATTTTTGCTGTTCCATCTTCTAGTGGGAAGCCTTCAGTACATATTTTTTTTAGGTTTGCTAATTAATCTTTCATATGCGTGCAAAAAGGTAAATTTCGCTGATAAATGAGGAAATGTTCTCTGCGGACGCTGAACAACTGGAATTGAACAAGAGACGTACCTCTCTTGCATTTGACTAGTTGTTTTGTGCTAAATTCCCTGTTGTTAAATAAGCTAGTGGTAAACTAGCACATAATATATGTTAACCTGATATAACTCTTATTTCCCTCTTTTCAACTCTCTACATTACCAAATTCAAAAAGGGCAAATTAAAAAATAGTCAAAAATTAGAGAGACGTATAACTAGCCAGACGCGAGTTACCGTGTGCGACTTAATCCCAAGAAGAAAAACAAAACATTTAAAATTGTTTTAAATAACTCCAAGCACCGTCAGGACGACATCAAATACCTTTAAAAGCCATTAAATTATATTTTTCTTTTCTTTTAAGGTGTGGAGCTTTTTACAATAAGACGAAGACGACCGATGAGGAAAAAGAAGCAACGTCCCTTGTTTTCACCCCATCAGATCCAAACAATGGAGACGGAGTTTACAAAATGTCAGTATGTCTCTGAAAGCAGGCGAGCCGAGCTGGCTTCAGACTTAAATCTTACGGAAACACAAGTGAAAACCTGGTTTCAGAATCGACGAACAAAGTCCAAAAAAGAAACACGAGATAAACAAGATCAATCAACTTCGGAAATAGGACGGAGGCCCTTTAAATTCACTGACCAACATTTGCTTGAAGAGGAAAGAAACTTTCGTAAACAGGAGCATTGCATACATTCCTTTTTCTCATATCACCCAAGTTCCTTATTTACTTTGCCTTCGCTGGGTCGTTCCTCTGGATTGTTGTAGATATCTTATTGAAGCCAACGATGGATCATATATATTGGAATATTTTATATACAAAAGAATCTACTCAACATTTGAACAGATCTTATTCGCCCTTTGCTAAGAGGAATGATTTACAAAGCCATTTAGATAATATGTCAGCCGAAGCAAAGCTGTCAAATCTAAGAAATTTTCACTCTTACATGAACTACGTGTATACATATTACTGTGTTTTATTCAGTAAATGAAAGATCATAAAACATACAATATATATTGCACCGGAAATCATGTCACTTGCTGTTTTACTTCATAATTCAATAAAGTTTCTATTGGTATCTGTACTCGTCTTGTTACCGTTGAACAAAATTCGTTGGCAATAATCATTAAAAAAAAAAATTTTAATATGGATTTCTGTTTGTTTTATTTGTAGCACATTAAGCATAGCAGTGCAGAGATTTTGTTGCAACAAGCCGCTTACAACATCTCGCCACATAGTGATTGCTTATAAAAATATAGACCGTCAGACGTGGGTCAGCAACGTACATGAAATCGAGAACACGTACATTTCTTACAAAATGAAACAGAGCATAGCTGTTCAGGTATTTTCGTACCTTAAGTTGAATTGTGTTGAGTTGGGCAACAAGTTAATTGGCGGAAAGGATAAAGGGAACTGTTCACTGCTGCCCGGTCTTCGCCAGAGTTTTCGATAAAGTGATACTGGCGATCAAGGTATTTTAACCCTGGTAAAGCGGTAAACTGATTCAATTAGGAAAGTTCGCCTTTTAACCTTTATTCTACGGACTGATTTCTTTTCGCTTTAGTGATATACAGACTATTGTCATTATTTAGTGGATTTTTGCAAGGATCTTTCAGTTTCACTGGGTAGCTGTAAAGAACGTAAACTTGCTTTGTGTCGAAAAGGCAATTATAAGCGCATTGCCAACTTGTTGTCAGGTTAGAACTAAGTTGGGAGAGCTGATAAGCTGAAGTTTTTAATAAAATTGCTGTTAACGTTGAATCAGCGATCCTCGAATATGAAACATTTCCTATCCATAACATGTTACATTGACGGCATTTGGTTTCTAAGTAATCGCTCGTTTTCGATGCCAAATAAATGGAACATACCAAACCTCCAGCTGCACGAGCTCGTGACATTTTTGTTCAAAGAGAACGGAAATTAAAACCAGCTGCCGAAGTTTAAAAGTGCAATCCAGACGTCCTTGCATAGTTCAATAGAGTCTCATACGTTGATACTGTGTTGTAAACTGTTACCCTAAGCAATCGCACACCTCTTTTCTTCCTCACGAGTATGTTGCATCTTCGTTGCCTTTACCAGCAAGTCAACATCAATCACACTAATTTGGCAACAACCGTTCTTTGTTGGAAAATGATTTATGATCATTGACAGAAGGCATGATTACAAAGAACCGGTAATGCTCCATTACACACCTTCTTACTCGAGAAAAGCGGCAATAAAATTTCAGAGGTTACGTTATTTCTCAAAACTTAGGTTCCAGCAAAGCTCCATTATAGACGCTTTCAATTTTTTTCACTGGGTTTCTGCCGTTGTTCCCTCCTTCTGCCTCGTACTCCTTAATATGGTCGGCGACTTATTAGGTTAAACCCTGCTCATTTACTATAACCAGAGGCTATTTATTTCCAGGCACCACCATTTAAGTAGTTTAAGTTTGGGAGAGCTTAATTTTTATTGAAAATAATAATAATAATAATAATAATAATAATGATAATAATAATAATAACAATCTTTAAAATTATTTGGTTTATCTTCCTCTGTATTTACAAACTTTTTGGTTGCAACTCTGTGAATCAAACAATGTACGGTAACTAGTTCTTTCCGTGGAAAGTCTTTCAACGTACGCCAAAACATTCCTCTAAGTAGCTGTAATTTTTTTTAGTAATTATCATGTCCCAAATTAGTCAAACTCGGAGATTACCCTATCCTATTACCATCTGAAATGATAACTTACAGTTAGCTGATTTTCACGTTGCTTTATTTTCTACGTTTTTTGGCAAAGATTATTGGTGTTCCGCTTGAACATTTCTAAAGATGACTAACACTATGGAAAGTTCACCGTCATCAGTATTGGTTTTAAGCAAGTTTGGATTTTCTCATGACATATAGTTCGTGTTTCCCAGCTAGCTCAGCTAGACTAGCGTGTATGCTATAAATTCAACTCCACCGCTAAAGCTAGAACGTTTGTCAGTCTCACGTAAAGGAATGAGCCAACTGAAGTTGGTTTACATCCGTAAGGCCGTAAGACGCTAAGCAAAGTCAATAAACATCACATGTTGAGTTGCTAACTCGATTATCATTAGTTCCACAATCCACATCACATATTTATATTTGTAGAATAAACAAGATATTAAATCCGCGAGTTCCTGAAACTGTTTATTTATCTGCGGCACATTAACCAGTCCTCGTAAATGTCACATTGTTTCCTGTGGTATGAAATATTTGTTAAAGTATCGTTAACACGTTATCGTTAATCCATCTGTTCGAGAAGGCTTCCTAAGGTATTTTTATGACGGCGGTACAATAGAATGATGTTCATATTAGTTTGATATCTCAAAGACCCACACAGGCGCAGTGCATCAAAACGTTCTTCAAGATGGGAATTTGTCCAAAAAAAAAGCACAAACAAAACACCTAAGTAACTTTTATCAAATCACTTCAAACGATCATTCGATCAAACTATGTTAATGCATGTTCTACACTGATAAACCGAGCACTTCAATTATATAATTCAGACCTTAGTTAAAACTAAATTTCCAAGGGAAAACCATTATTACTTTACACCGTTTTGATTTGTTTCTTGATTGACCGTTGGGTGGATTCAATCATTTATTCTTTCTTTCGTTGTTTCTTTGGCTCATTATTTATTCAGTCAATAAGTTAATTAATAATGAAAACACTTGTTAGATAGCCACAGCCTAAAACATCCTCCCTTTAATTAAAACACTTCACCCTCGACAAAACCAACTGCACCGTTATTTTGAGTATGAAGGGTTAACAATATTTAAGCAACAGAGTACTTTTTCCGTGTTTACATAGTCTCATCTAAACACTAGGGGGGTGCGGAGAATTCGAGACAGTTATGCAAACCTGAGACGTAGACGAAGCTTTGCATAACTTTCGAGAATTCTCCCAACCCCCGAGTGTTTAGATGAGGTTATGTAAACACGGAAAAAGTACTCTATTGCTTTTACAAAATAATTCTCAAAATACGTGTGAATCTAAAACGTCACAACAGTGTTTACATACTCTCATCTAAACACACCTATCGACCAATGAGAGCGCATGTAGTATGGCAATTATTTTATAATATAGAATATTATTCACTTCAATCGCGGCTAATTTAATCGTCATTTTTGCAATTTACACGTGCGCACTCATTATTTTTGAATAATGATATCATTAATCTATAGCCAATGATGCACTTTTGTCAGCGATAATACATATACATACCCATTCGTGGGTGGCAATGAACTGAAGCTGTAAGCTACCGCACTTTAAGCAAAGTATCTAAACATAAAACTAAACCTAATTACCCCGAATTCCTTTGCATTCTACCGATTGGCACAACCGATCCATGGACAAAGAGGAGTGTTTCCCTTCAGACAAGTTGAAAAAGTCGCAAGGGACATGAGAGGCATTTCCTCACTGAAAGCACCTCTGAAAAAAAATTCAAGTCGTTTAAGCATGTTTCATTTTTTCAAGCATCGGACCTAAGAAGAAAATAATTTCTCATGTTACTACTAAGATAGGCTGGCAATACCGTTAGGTATGAAATGTTCATTTAATCCTCAAGTGTTAAAGATAAGAGGGATAAAATATAAAAAGGAGCAAAGCTTACATTGAAAGAAGCTTATAAGAGGTGGTATTTTGGGGTAAATAACTCGCAAGAGAGGCATCCAGCTCATTCGGAATTGTGTAAAAATGCTTCATTCTCATCTCGCTATATCAAACGAACCCAAACTGAAAGCTAAAACATAAACTCCATACCATATTCCAAATGTAGTTGATTTTCAGAGAACCAGGCAGGCGTGCTGAATGAATTAAAGGTTGTAGCTTGATTTACTGGACCATAAATGAAACTTACCTGTCACTTTGAATGACACTCAGAGCGCTTCTCCAATTATTCTCTATACCCCAATAAAAAAAATTAACTTCTCAGTTAATTTGATTGACCAACATCGGAGTTGGCATATCAGGGGTCTCGGTAAAGTAAGGTCATCCTTAAAATATGAAATGTGATTTCTAGTGCTGATCAGAGAAAATCCCGTTCATTAAAGCGATTCCTCAGAATGATGCATTGCGCATACCTACTGCGCACGATTTTCGCATCATTAGCGCGTGCATACGTGCGTGTGCACCTACAAAACATCAAAAGATTGCCTTCAAGCTAAGCGCAACAGCAAACTATATGCTGGTTTTCTCTTAAACAGGCATGGTGACCTATATTTTTTATTACATAATTTTGGTGTGCAAATTACTGTTTTTAACTTGGAAAATTAAAAAAATCGTTCGGAAGGAAATAAGATATGGCTAAAAGCGTGCATGAAACCGTTACTCGAGGATGCGAATTATGACCTTCAAAACAACGTCTCGAGGAATGTTTTGAATCAATGTCGTTTAGAATTGTGTAATTTTTTTAAATATATATGTTACATTGTTGCATACACTCGAGACTTTCTACCTGTCAAGTTCATTTTCAAGTATTTCATTAAAAAACTTTGCTTCCAGCTGTCGCAAAATGCCGTGGAACGTGAATCGATGAAATAACGCACGTAAATAGGCATAAGTGCATTAAGACTGGTCCATCATATTTCTTTTGCGAACATGTTGACCTATCTTTTATGATTATATTTTTTGAAACAGTGCTTAGTAGGGAATATTCAGGGAAAGTTCCAAAATAATCGTTCCACTAATTTTATTTCTGCGGAGGAATAACCTTAAATCCTCCCTTTAACTAGCCATTAAGTAGCCTATACTCGTCATGCATGCGCTGCGTATGCGGTGCATGTCTCTGTAACTGACTACCTGCCGTCGAGTCGGACGTTCCGTCACTGATGATCGAAAACGGGAGGGCTCTGATGACGAAATGGTTGTGTGGGCCTCTTCCTTTAAACCCTGAAGACCACTACTTCTCCTATATGCACCAAAAAACACTGGTTAAAATATATTCCTTATCATTTCGCCAAAGCTGATGAAGCCAGTGGAAATTGATCTTGTTGTCTCTTACTTTTGTATTATAAGTTTAATATCATCATTTGTCCCATGACATGGCATGCGCGCACACATAAAGCCTCGTATGCTTAATACATAGGAGCTAAATATTACATAATCTTCCCTTTTAAGTCTATCGTTGTTTCCTACCTTTCAATTTTTGAATTTAACTTTAAGGAAAAGAACAGAAAAAAAGACTTTTTCCCTTTCTAGTATCGGTTTTTTTTATTTCTGTCAATTCAATGAATCATATCATGTGTCATTAACTACATGACAACTTTCAACGTAAATTCCAAAGTGAAAAAAATATCAAATCCGAATCTAATTAAATATAAATTCCTTTACTCTCATCGAATCTCCAGTTAAGACTGCATATATGGCACATAAAAAAGGAAAATAGTGGGAGTTAGTCGTGAGCGCCTTCTTTTCGTGGAGGGTCTCGTGTGAAATTCGGGTCACAAATGACAACAGATCGCATGAAGTCCAGTCTAGTCTTTACACAATAACCTCCCTGATTACTGTCATCACCATTCATATCCGTTAGCCGAATCGACTTTCAATGTCTCTGAAATGGCCCAAAGGCCATTTTGTACCCTACAAGGGCACATATGGCTATTGCCACGCGAGACAATTCGGTCTTTTAGATAATTCGACAACGAGAGCAACAGTCAGAAAAATAGACATAACTACTGGCTTTTTCCCAAAAATGGATACAAGAGAGAAGCTAATTTCGCAGCAAGCCAGTGAGACCCAGGCAAAACGTACAAAAT